AAAACGTTTCCAGTTGTGCGACATTTTTTTCCCAACAGCCTTTCACGTTAACACACACCAAAACAAAGTTTTCGCATGGAGCTTTTAACTTAGACCGCTTATGGATGTCCCATAGTAAAGTGCATAGTTCTAAAACGCCCACAATTTATTCTAAACGCAGTTATGATCGATAATAAAAATGTTTCCGAGTAATGGCAGCTTTTTTTTATTCTCATGAATTGAATGAAGATTTCTCATAATAGCCATAATAATTTACCATATTACTGAAATATCGTAATAGGAAGCGCGGCGCATTATATAAGATGTGCTCGCGTGCTTGCACTGACAGCGAAATGGTTTTGCTTTGAAGCGTGCATTAAGCTTGGTCAGGATAAAATTAATGCAATGAGCTATCCAACAGTCCAGGGAGGCTATAAAGAGACAAGGTCTTGGCACCTGCCTGTATACGGCCTAGGCCGGACCACATACATGTTGGATCTTGTAATCACTCACTGATCTGGTGCATTGCTTTACGTGCGCCAACAGTGTCGTATCTGCTAACATATTATAATTGTTACTTTGTTAGTATTATTACAAACGTATCTTGATGTTTACTAGCTTTCTTCACGAGATTTCAGTACCATATGTCAGAAAAAAATGTGTTTCAGCGTTTCCCGTGTACTACCCGTCATGTGCACGCCGACAAAATGGACGAGCTGCAAAGCTTGCGCGCCATAAAAACATTCATAATGGCGGCGAGTGAACACCTCACTTATTTCACGTGTAGCGTTTCACGGTGAAACACAATCAGCAGGGAAACAGCACATGATTCGAATTTCAATCAAGCAAGCTTCAGCAAACTTATCCAAACCAGCAGAGATATAATTAGGCGTTGGACTTGAGATTCAAGTAATAACTCACCTAAATAGAAAGCAGTCCGTCACCGCAATAAACAGCAGCGTTCTGAATGACCAAAAAAGGGGGGGGGGGGTATAGAAGAAGATGAAGGGAGGAGGAGGACGACGTTAATATTTTGTGAGCACACACACTCGAAATAGTTCAGCATTCTTAGACCGCGGTCATACCACGTCACGTGAGTCATGAGATTTTCGTTATGACTTCAATTCATTTAGTCATTTTAATTCTATCACATACGACAAAACATAGGCTGTGTTGCAATTCTTAGACAGCACGTAGACAGTCTACGCAGACTGCTTACAAGACAGCACCAAGCCCAAGCTGTCCGAGAATTGGAACACGTCTGGACGGCTTTTACGCGACGGCGCACCACCTCACGTCGAGAAGAAAAGCTAAAATAAACAAACGTAACAGTTGCAGTTTCTGGCTCCTTTCGTGTTGAAATCAAAAACTAATAAACGTTACTCGCATTGAGCATGTGGGGGAGCGTCTGCTTGTGTCCATACGACCATTCCGGCGAGATAAGATCTATCTGAACGATTCGCTGAGCCGCCATCTTGTTTAGACAGCAAAGTAGCCTGCATCCACGGAGGAAGGAAAGGTAGGAGAGGCCCTGACATCACTGGTTGTGAAGCCGCGATGAAGCCGGAAGTCAGCCATATTGACTGGGCAAATTCTCCTCTCTTGTTTACATATGAATTCGAAGCGGAAGGTGCGACTCCCTCTCTGCCTCAAAAAGCACGTGGCCTGCGTGCCGCGTGTGCCGGTGCTATCCGAAACCAACGGAACGGATTTCAACACGCTGTCCTGCCGCGATACGGTTGACGAAATCTCTGCGTATGGCTGTTGTACTGTTGCACTGCCGGCGTTTACGATAAACAAGGCAAGTTGCACGTTAAGCTTTTTTTTATTATTTGATGTGTTCTTTGTGAAAATAAAGACGATATTTCGGACATTGCCGCGTGATGAACCAGGCACCAAAATTTGTACAGCTTTTTTCAGATCACTTTTTCTCCCTTTTGCGCTTCTTTTTAGGCTTTATGAAATTTTCGGTCAGGCTGTGGGCTAGACACAACGATAAAAAGCGAGCAACTTAAGCGAAGCAGAACAGGAACTTTTAATGCGCAGAAGCATATGGCAACTGTACAAGAACGTGAAAAGCAAAATTAGATTACAGTCTTAATAAGGGCCTGTGGACCGCAAATGCATCGTCCGTTGTCATAAGAAGCAACACCGCATAACTGTCACTAACCTGCAAGGCATTCATTGAACGAATTCTCGATCACAGTCGTAATCTTCTATGATGGCTTTTCAGCATAATTTTGATGGACGCTGCAAATTCGGAGCACGTATACGTGCGCTCGTTCCGTGGTTTCTAGTTCAGACACTTGATTACAACCACCACCGGAGGAAAATCGCGTAGCTAACAATGCGGCACAAATAATGGATGCTGTCGAACACCTGCTGTACGCCACGGTTAAGTGCGAGGCCCATGAAAACGCGCACACCACCGCTCAACCACCTGAACGGTGCCGCACCGCACTACATCAATAATAATAAAACGCCGCCATTGTGCCCAGTGAATATGGCCGCTGTGACGTAATTTCCGCCACATTTTTTATGCCATGCGCCGGCTGGGCCTGCCCTCTCCTACCTTTCCTTCCTCCGTACCTGCATCGTATTTGTCTACGATGCGGTCTTTTTGGAGCTGTCCATTTTGTCGGCTACGTGAGAATTGGAATGGGACTTAAGATGGCCGCCGTCCATTTAGCTGTCTATTTAGCTGTCAACGGTGAATATTGGAACACACCCATAGGCATGGCCACCGGGTGGTAGGGCAGATGGCGTGGCCTCCCCCTTAGTCATAGAGTTTATTAGAATAATACCTAGAGAGGAATATGGCACTGCGATCGTGTACCTGCATGGGAATAATGGGAAGTAGGGGTTTCTAATTGGATAGGTTTAGCCAGCGAACTGTCTACAGACTTTTCTATACAGTTTCAGTTTCGTTCTTCGCGCAGCGCGGGTAGTCGGGTGTGGTGAAAAATGCTGACGACCACTAGATCTCCTGATTTGCTGCGACATTGGAGCTTTACGAGCCGTATTTGACAGCTTAAACAAAGCGTCGTCCACTCACCGTTGCGCCTAGATGTAGCGTCTCATGCCAGTGTAGGATACTGCCTCGAGTTCATGTTTTTCATGAGCGCGTCTTGCCTAAACTCGTCTTAAATCGACTGCAAAGCAATGACGAAGCTAAGTAGACGCACCGTCACGCTCCGCTGGCTCGACTTCACAACAAAACCAGAGGAGCGTTGGGGGCAGACAACTGGGACAGACGCACCTAGCGTTGCAGAAGAAAAAACGATAAGTGTTTCTCACTTAATACTGAACTGTTATTTCCATAAGTAGACAATGCATACTTTCGAGAAAAAACAGGCATGTTTGTTTTCAAGTGTTGTAAAACATTATTCATTAAATCTTAATGCCGAATCAGGAATGCAATGACAAAGCGATGCATACCCTGATGCACGACCAACTCTACGCCTGACCAAGGATGATAAAAAGATTTTTTTTTAAATCCTCCTTGCTCCTGGCCTGCTCAAAGAGCCCCTCTCCAGCGCCCATGTTCTAGTTCATACACTCTGCCGCTAGGGCCGTAACCTACGAGTGGCTGGCGTCAGTCAGCTCCCTGGCGTCACTTTCAGTACTTGTGGTCAAATTTTGACCAACAAAGCACTAATAGTGCGTATTTATTATGCACAATTTAAAATTATTCAAAAACAACATACTAAAAGTCATTCTTTTTTTTTTTTGCAATCAAATGGCGTGACAACGCATAGGCTGTCCTACACCATGTAAATCTACGCGTTCCCACGTTTGTCGCCCAGTGTGCTATAAATACTTAAGCGCACTCAACAGATTACGTGGCCAGCAACCTAAGTGAAGAAATAGTCACATATGGGCAGACAGTTTGCCACAGAATGCAGGTATTCTTATTCCAGTGCCGTCGAAACAACCGTAAAGTAGCAGACGAACAGGTTATAGGTAGCGCCACCAATGGTGAGCGGTTGAACGAGAGCGAACCTTGCTATCTGAGCAGGTCAGGAGTAGAGTAGGTTGTGCCTAAATGGTTGAATTTGCCCAGGTTTCATTTTTGCCACCTGTTAACGAACATTTTTGCAATAAAGTTTGCGTACAAATAATTGGTGTAAGTTGCAATTAAATCTAATTTTATACAGTCGGAGAAGAAGCATCGCGAATATCAAAAACATAATCCATTCGAAGCGGATTTGAAGCCTGTACAAGCACCGCTGAGAGGGCCCGCGGGCCGCGTAGCGCCAGACCAACGCCTCCTAGATTTCTCGTGCCTGCCGGATGAGCGCGAAACGCCACTGATTTATGACGGCGCTGCCTACGTAGGAATAAGGGTCTTTGTACTTAACCTTAGAGATCGGCAACTTTAGTGTTTGCTACTAATTTTAGAGGATGTTTTGTATTTAAAAGTTGATTGCATAATGACGGCGTCACTTACGCAGGATTAATTATAATTACGTTTACGCCTTTTTAAAAGTTTTTACGTTATTTTTGTTGCATATAAGGTTCAAAAACGTAAGAACTTGTTTGAAGACGGCCACGTCCGCTGCCACCGACAGCCCTACTTGAGTAGCGCCGCCACCGTAGTTCCGACGACCGCCGCTTCCCAAGTGACCGCCGATAATCCGGCAGGCACGGGAAATCTAGGAGGTGTAAATTATACCTAAATGCTTAAAGGCAGACACTCTTTAAGTATTATTGTGTGAAACTCTATGTTACAAAGAAGTGTGGCAGCTTGGGCTAGTTGGTATGACATGACGACAGTTGTAGCGCGAGAACAGAACAGAAAGGCGTGCCCTTGTTGAGATTGCCCACATGCGTGTGCAACTGAAGCAAAATGCACCTTAAATATGCTAAAAATGTTACATAGCGTTTGCCTAGAAATACCAACGCCCGCCACGGAAATGTTTTATCACGACAACAGCCCCTTCAAAGCTAAATTTAGAATAAAACAAACTGCCCAGTTTCGGTTTCGTTACCATCAGTTCGCAAGGCGTCGCTCGCGTCGGTTCATCGTTCGCGAACTTCTTTGTAATGCGCTCGATTGGAGATGCCGGGTTGTGTTTTTTTTTAGAATAGCGTAATAGTACACCTTTTCGGCCGAGCCCTAATGAACTACTGTTCCAGTTGCACCGGTCTTTTTATTAAAGTGGGTTAGCTCGATCGGTGATCTATCGTAGGGAAGGGATGCAGTTGGCGAGCTCTCCTCTCTTCCCGAGGGACGTTCTAAATGGAACCGTATTGTGAAAGTGGTGCGGTAAGGGAAGTGTATGCATTCCAGATATGATGCGTTAGGAGGATCGACGCGGAGTTCCTACGGTAGCTCGTACTACCCGAACTTTTCTGGGCTTTTTCGATGTGAAGGATGCAGCAGCCGCACCTTGAAAATGCGAGCACGACAGCGAATGCCACTACCTCCAACAAGGTGTTGGAGGTGAGTGCTACCGCTTTCTTTTGTTCAGCCGACGCGCTTCTCATGTTCGGTCGTTTATTTTCGTGTGTGCATGTGTGCACGTACGTGCACTTAAGTAACCTGCGAGCGGCGCTTTTACGCACCGAGATTAGCGTAGCAGGACGAGACGCGGACAAACGCAGTTTTGACAGCTAGCAAGGCTGACACTGGAAGCGTACCGACGTGTCCGTCACACAGTTTGTCAGCTCGCGCACTGCGCCCATGCAACCGTCTGCCTGAATCGTTGCAGGAGCAGAGTGCGAGCATATTCGAAGAGCTTGTGGACGACGTCATACTGGGAGCCTGCTTCGAGCTTCACCGTTCTGTCAACTTGGGCATCTTATTTTTGGACGAAGCCACAGATGAGTGAGTCAGTGTTCATTGTTGATCGTTACAAACCGTTGCTATCGGTCTCTCTCAACGATGACGTGTGTGTTATCAGCTGCGCCAATCTCATACTCGATCCCCCCCCCCCCGCTTTTTTTTTTCTTTTTGCAGCGAAAAGAAATACGGTACGTACTCTGTGCGGTCAACACCGCTGTCCACAGCTGTGATTGCAGTCGATGAGACGCCTGAGCCATTGCGCGTTTTTTTTTTTTTCTTTGCAGAAATAGTGGATGAAGTAGGCTTGGATGTTTTTGGTCAAGTTCCTCTGAAGAAGCAGTTCGAATGCGTGTGTCCAAACTGTCAAAGAAATTTAGCTGCGTCGCGCTTTGCGCCACATCTAGAAAAATGTATGGGTATGGGAAGAAACAGCTCAAGGATCGCGAGCAAGAGGTGAGAATATGCCCCTGTGTGAGAATGGATTTCCCGGGCATGACTAAACAACTGAAGAACTTTCACTAGAGACCAAGCATTATGAGACTTAACATAAAAGTCGAGCACAAAAAAAAAAAAAAGACGAGGCACAGGAAAACAACAGGGTAGAACGTGTTCTATCCTGTCTAGAGCATTGTATGCTGTCTACTCTTTTTCCTCTGCCTTGTCGGTTTCTTTTTTTTTTTCACTCAACCTTTATATTTATACATGCACTAACTCACCCAACAAGGCATTTAATTAACTTATGAGACGTGTGTGTATATGGCTGCTCTGACACGTGGTTCCTCTACAGGATCGCAAACACTGGTAGAGCAGAAAGTGACGTAGACGATTATGACAATGACAGTGACTGGAACTACCTGTCTGATCGAAAACGTGAGTAGCGAAATTCTACCTTTATCTAATGTTACAAAATCAGAGTTTGTTGTGCACTTGAAGTTTCATCAACAGTAGCTTTCTTCACAATCTTCTTTTCACACCAGGAACAGCTATTTATTCACGCCACGTGAAAATTTATTTTGGCTCATGGTGCAGTTGTGCAACTTCACTTGAATTAAGTGATATGCCCAGCTAACCCAAATTTATTTATGAAAAAGAGTGGTACTAATTATATATAAGGCATAGCATTACTATCCATTTAAAATGAAAATCTAGCCAATGTTCATGGCATTATTTAGACCTGCCTCTTCCCCTTTGCCAGTAACCAAACAATAAAATAATTCAATCAGTGTATTTGCTTCAGGTGTCTTTGCTGTAATCATTAAGCAGGATTTTCCTAATATTTGATGCTTCTGGCTGCATAAGATGTTTTATTGTTACACTTTTAGTGGCACACATTCTTGAACGAACCTTAAGATCTCTGCTACATAGACAGTTGTTTCTTGTAAAGCAACATTTCAATGATTTCACAGTGCAGCTTGTCATGCAGGTATTATACAGGTTGATTGCATTTTAATCATTTCCGCGGGACACAAATAGCTTGTGTCAAATCTTTTTACTAGATCTGCTTCAAATCGAAGAACAACTGGTATTAACACAACATGATAGCTGTGGCATAAATACAAATTGTTTATGATTTGGTGGTTAACTTGAAAGACTGCATACAGTTTCAAAATATCACAAGTTCTTTAAACATATGTGTGAGACTACCCCACAAGCCCTTTTGCATTTCCGTTTTGAAGCAAAGGCACTTCACCTTCTTTTTACCTTCAGCAGCCAAGAAAAGGAAAGATAAAAACTGCCCACGAAGAATTAAAGGAAAACCTAAAAATGGTAAGGTTTCTTTATAATTATTATTTTAATGTTGTTGAGTTTATGCATCAGTGTACTAATAGGCATGATTGAGCGATGTACTTGCTGTTGCAATCTCTCTATCATGAACCATCGTGGCAAAATCACAGAGTCAGTCACACAATTTCGCCTTTTATTCTTCTATCGTTTTAAGTAAGAATGCTTGGCATGTTTCCACTCTGTTCTTTCAAATGCAGCACTGAACTTTTCTCTTTTCAGGTGAACAAGCAAGCACTAGCAGCACATCAGGAGAGACCTCAAATAGCATATCAACTTACGAAAGCCTTTCTATGGGTATTGAACGGCACATATTTTTGTCTTTTTTTCTCTTTTGGGGTTATTTCATATGTATATGTGTGACACCGACAACACTGGTTCATGAATGCAATGCAATTTTATTTTTCGTTACAGAGGAAAGAAAGGCCTTGTTGACACAGGTAAGTTGTTTTGCTGATGCCTTAGCTGCTGTTTGCCTTAACCAAGATTCAAAAGGCTTGCCAAAGAAAACAATGCGACTGTATGATGACTCCACATTTTGATGAGCTACAGCTCTTTCGGGCATACTGTAAACCTTCTTTTAAACAACTGCATACATTTCAAACACCAGATTTTAAATGCGATAGCATTAAAGAGCTCATTTTGAAAAGCTTTCGGCATCTGCATAAGCATCATTGGTTGTAAACAAAAAGTCTTGTGCATTACAGAAAAACTGATTAAGATGCAAATGAATATATAATAAAATTACCGTGTCTAAGTGAGTATCAAACCGCTTGCGTGCGAAGCCGGTGTTCTATCGCACAGCCATGTGTCTGCATTAGAAATCAGGTTTAAATAACTTTCTCTGCTTGGAAATGCAGTGAAAATAATGTTGATGCTTTACAAACACGTGTCTGGTATACAGGCTTCACAATACAACATCAAGTATCGCAGTAATATTGCATCTTACAAGTGCACGTTGCCATTAGACCTTGGAGCATGTAATTATTATAACGACTTTACGATTTCTTTAAACCACAATGTTACTCAACCATTACAAAAAGCACGCATGTTACTGCGTGTATTCCCATACGACTACATAGTGGCTGGATAGCAAGTTTGAAAAGATTTAATGCGCATAATTGCTCGTGGTTGAAAGTATACTATCCATTACACAGAATGCAGCCACATGCGAAAGCGGCACTGACACAAGCCACTTTCAGCTTTATTGATTACATTCTACTAATCCACAATTTAAACTTCTCGAGTAAAACCATAAAATTAAAAAGTATGCACTAAGAGGTTGAAGTATTCACTAGGAACAGGATTTCGCTGTCACGTTCAACTCTTAAAAGCAAAGCTTAAGGGTCCCTTCCCTGCCCTCTCCTTCTCTCTTTTTTCCCCCCACTGCAGCTTGTTTTCAGTTGTGGCTAACCTTGGAGCTTTGTGACATTGATTCAAGTATAAGTGCCACAAAGGGTCATTAATTTTTGTGCTTCAATCTATCATGGTTCCTAATTTATGGCTTCGTGTCATTTTTTGTCATATCACTGTATCAGAAAACTGAGTAGCAATTGATCACTGCCTTACATTTCTTTGATGTTTTGAGCTGACACCCAACAGCTTTGTAATCTTGTTATTGATCAACTGGTGATTATTAAGTAACAAATGCAATTGAAGCACTCTTGTAAAACATGCATGCATATCAGTTGTCAAATTTCCATGTGAATAGCCTCTAAATGGACAGTAAAGTCAAATAACAATCTATGCCAGAGTGAAAGCTCAATGTATAACAATGTCTAAAACGGCAATATCACCAACACCAGTGCCGAGAAATTAATGTAAACGCACGAGAACACATGCGCCTTGTGTAGGTCATTCACAAAATGATCCCTATGACGTCAGACTTATCAACTACAAATAATCTCTGTAAATTGAGCTAGCTTCAATGAATTAAGAGCCGTCTGTGCATCAAGAGACGTAATAAAATGCTGCTTGTTCGTTTCTGTTTGATTCATGGAAAAAAAGAATCGTCAGACGTTACTTAGGGAATGGCACAAGTGGTTCAAAGGTTCGATTTTCACCTGGTTAAACTGGACAGGTTGTGCCATCTAGCAGGGCCCAGTTGAACAGAGCACGCATCTGGGAGGCCATGGCTAAAAATTGTGCAATGGTGGTTGTTGCTGCTGTGGCTCATGCTACTTTCGTTCTACTGCTACTAGTGTCAGCGGCCGCGCAGTAAAGCCAGGCAACGTTGTGCTCCGCAACAATGATGTGAAACGGCCACTTTCGTACGAGGGATTTGAAGTGTGCTAACGCAATACAGACCGCTAAAACATTATTTTATTTCAAAATAAGCACTTCCCTGGCGCAAAAGTAGCATTACCAGGTTTCTGGACTGCTATTTCAGCAATCACCGACTAAATATTTGCCTTTGGTGTCCCTTTACGTAGCACTTGAAGGGGGCCCTACAACATTTCTTTAGCATGATCAAAAAATGCTTATCAGAAGTCAAGGCTCCTGGGAACACACAAGCCAAAAATTATAGCCCAGCACGCAGCCTGGAACTTGTTTGATTCTTAATGTCGACCAAAAATCGCTCGTTCTTTTTTCTATAAGTCCAGGGCCATTCGCCTATCTGAGCACTGCGAGCAACATTACCGTGGCCGCCACATGCCCACGCGTTTGCTCACTATCACACTGAAAGCAGCCACGCGTTCGAAGGAAAAATTTTTTAAGAAGTGCTCAAGGTCACGATGCATGCTGATAAAGAGACGTTTTCTTGCCCCCTCGTCGTTCCCCGCCCTGCGTAGCTCAGCTTGCTGCTGTGTTAAGAGAGACAAAGTGCTGAACGCATGTGGAAACTCCTCATACTTGATAGATTCTATAAAATTTCACAGCTGCCAGTTCGCGAGGCAATAAGACGATTGCATGCTTACTGTTCGTTGTCTACAAGCTATTTACAAAAATAATTTTAATGGAATAAGACAACATTAGAGTTCATCCAACCAAAGGACCAAGCAGGATTTCATACAGGCTACTCAGCAATATACTAGATTACTGTCAATCAGGTGACTCACAAACATACAGAATACATACAACCAACTTCAATACACACCCTTCATAGATTACGAGATGGCATTTGATTCGGTCAAGATACCAGCAGTCATGCAGGCACTGCGAAATGAGGGCATCAATGAAGCCTATATAAACACACTGGAAGAAATTTAGAGTGCATTCACAGCCACTATAGTCCTCCATAAAGATAGTGACTGAATCCCAATAAAAAAAGGTATAAGGCAGGGATACGCTATCTTTCCAATGCTATTCACCGTGTTTTTACGCGGTGTTTTCAGCGCCCTGCATTAAAAAAAGTTAGGGATAAGAGTCAATTGAGAATTTCTCTGTAACGTGCGATTCGTTGAAGACATTGCATTGATGAGTAACTCTGCGGATGAATTACAGCTCATGATTACCGAACTGGACATGAAAAGTAGAAAACTAGGTCTGAAAAGTAATATGCATAAAACTAATGTGCTACAGTCTTGGCAGAGAACAGTGCTTTGTAATAGATGGCAAGACACTGGGAGTTGTAAAGGAACATGTCTACTTACATGTAAGAAGGTATAACATGCAGAGAATCAGACATGTTTTAAAGAATGGAGGAAGTGCCAAAGTTGTGAAGAAGAAACTTGGGATAGGCTGAAACCAGATGTATGCACTGAGGGGACAAGGAAAGTGGGGTAACTACCAATATGGATAGGATAGTTAAAGTAGAGAAATTTTAATGAGATCTGCACTGTAGCCAGGATTACCGCGGCCATAATGTAAGCATTGGCAGTACCCCAGATGGACATTCCACCAGTAATGACAGAATTCAGGAAAGCCTTGGAGAGTATGCTAAGAGGCGAAGCTGGTGGTGAGGATCAAGTAACATGAGTTCTGCTAAAAGACGGAGGACAGATTGTGTTAGAAAAACTAGCCACCCTGTTTACAAAGTGTCTCTTGACGGGGAGGGTACCAGAATCTTGGAAAAATGGTAACATCATCCTAATTAATAAGAAAGGAGACAAGGACAAGGACAGTGGATCAACTGCCAATATAGTGCTCCATAAAGACAGCGACGGAATACCAATCAAGAAATCAAAAGGGTGTAAGGCAGGGGGATACGATCTCCCCAACGCTATTCACTGTGTGCTTACAGGAGGTTTTCTGGGGCCTAGAATAGGAAGAGTTGAAGATACAAGTTAATGGATAGTACCTCAGTAACCTGTGCTTTGCCAATGACATTCCATTGCTGAGTAACTCGGGGGACGAATTGCAGTTCATGATTACGGAATTAGAGAAGGAGAGCAGAAAGTCAAGTCTTCAAATTAATCTGCAGAAAATGAAAGTAATGTACAATAACCTCGGAAGAGAACAGCGCTTACAGCACTTCCGAGATAAGTAGCAGTGCACTTGACGTTGTAAAAGAATATGTCTACTTAGGACCGGCAGCAAACGCGAGACTGAAGTAACTAGAAGAATAAGAATGTGGTGGAGCACATTTGGCAAACATTCTAATATCATGAATGGTAGTTTACCACTGTCTCTCTAAAGAACAATATATAACAGCTACATCTTACTTGTACTTTCCTGTGGAGCAGAAACCTGGAGGTTTACAAAGAAGGTTAAACTTAAATTGAGGATGATGCAGTGAGCGATGAAAACAAAAATGATAGGTGTAACTTTAACTTAAGAGACGGGAAGAGAACAGAGTAGGTCAGCGAACAAACGTGGCTTGAAGGTATCATAGTTGAAATTAAGAAGAATTGGACAAGGATTAGACGCGTAGCGTGTAAGCAAGATATCCGCTGATCATTAAGGGTAACTGATTGCATTCCTAGAGAAGGCAAACGCGCCAGAGGGAGACAGAAAGTCCGGTGGGCTGTTGAGATTAAGAAGTTTCGAGATATAATGTGGCAGCAGAAAGCACAGGACCGAGTTGATTGGCAGAACATTGGAGAGGCCTTTGCCTTGCAGTGGGCGTAGTTAGGCTGATGATGAATGCAATTACTTGGAAAGTGTTACAGGGACCTTTTGTGGTTTGTAGAAGCAGCGTAAACTTCAGCACTTTATTTCAACTATGTTTTAACTGCATTAAGCCTATGGCTTGACCTGTAAGGTCATGTTGAGGAGCCACATTATCTCTCATTGTTCTTTGCTAGTAGCAGTAGTTTAATTCTTGTCAAGAACTTTTCTGTTCAAGTTGCTGTTTGTCTCTACTTTGTGAAATTTTATTGTGGCTAGTTTCCAGCCATATCTTTATACTACATTAAATTGTTACAATATTAATGAGAAATAACCGACAATGATGCCAGGGAAGGCATAGGGGATGTTGTTCGGAATAATTTTAATGTAAATGCGAAGAAAGAAAAGTAGACGAAAAGATAACTTGCGAGGACGAAACCTGCGGTGGTAGGTTTGGTCCCCACCAGCCCCAAGTTGTTTTTTCATCCGCTTTTGCATTACAATAATTTCTGTTCACATCCCCCTTATGCTTTTCTTGGCATCACTAACTGTTCTCATTGAGCATAAAAAACAAATAATAAGCCCGAAATTCGCACTTCTTTCATTCATTAACTTGCTACAGACCTTGTATGCAAAAGACAGTCATGCAAGAGTAATATTTAAAATATTTGTAGCTGCAAAAGTGTGCTTTTTTCTTGAAAACCATGAAAGATGGTGATAGCAAGACGACAGGCGATCATCCATGGTGGCACATGCCATCGTGCGTCAGCTGTTGTAGAATGTGTTTACATGGTCTCCCACTTGCACATTGTTATGTCTGCGGGGGTTGATGTGAAATACGCTTCATGGCATTGTCCGCCAAGCTACTCGCAGGATTCTCTCAATGTAAACCGCGTACTGATACACAAAATACTTTGAGCCAGTTTTTTCTGAACAGCGAGCGATGCAATAGGTGAAAGTCTGCAGCTGCTGCGAAATAATGAGCAAAGGCTCATAATTTCGCATTATTACCACCAGTGCCAATATCCAGTGGTGCACACCGCTGAAATGGAAGCATTTTCCTCATCTGAATGCAAAATCGAAACACCTAGACAGCTGCACTCAGAATTAGCATTAGGCAGTACTCTAATTGTCTGTGAATTTTTTTCCTTTCTCTAACTTGTTTTGCTTATAGCGGTGCACTTTGTAATCACTGCATACGTGACTGTAATCTTCAGCGTTCCTGTAATTGGTTGATTTACTTACTGAACTTTTTGCTACAGTAAAGAAGGTTATTGATTGCATGAGACGGTCTTGTATTCAAGCTTTCTTAGCAAATGTGGTTTTATTCTTAAGTATGCTTTGTCAGGGCCATGAATATCTCTTTACAGCATGCCTTGTGGTAGTAAAATCATATTCTTCATTGTGCCCTTTGCTTCTAGATGTGCGGAGTGATCTCAGAGCACACGAAAAAAATGTGCACCCGTTCCCAGCGTTGTCCACAACACACGGACGAGCAACGGAAGGCAGTCAGGCAGTTCCTTTTGAATCAAGCCACTGGGTACGAGTGTTTGTTTGTTGATTGTTGCAAACACTGCCATTACTGTGCAACTGAATCGTTTGGAACATGAAGTCTGGAGTTGTGTACCGAATGCGAAAACTAGCCACCCATTATTTTTTCCAGGAGTAGACAAACCTGTCAACCATGATAAATATGACTATGCGTTCGTTACCACATGCAAATGTATTTGCCTACAAAGCTGAGCTACACGCATTTGTCATTGTACTTTAGTGTGCGATCTTGAACTTTCTGCTGACTGCCTATGAATTATTAACTAGCAATGCACATTTCCCAACCTTACTTTTGCTGTGCATTATTGTTTATTTATTTTATGTAATCCGCAATGGCACATGAATTACTAGAAAGCTGGGTTGCATGGAATGCTGGTTTGCATGAACCCCAAGATCTTCCAACCGGCAATGCTTATTCATATGTGTGTGAAGTCATTAAGATACACTGCCTGCATTGTCAATTTTCGGCAGTTGATGTTTCCTTCTGCTTTTGTACGTGCACTGATTCATCTTGTTGATCGACCGTAAACAGTTTATCTTTAAACAATGCAAATTATCAAAGTTGTACAACGTGATTGCGTACACTGGTCACAATAGAACCTGTATGCAGTTGATGAGCTTTTAGATGGATGTAACTGATAGTTCATGTCTGGCACACTAATTATAACACAGGAGAAGCACATCACCACAGAAACAATGTATGTAGGATGCAAATACAGTTGAACCCCTGTATAAGACTCTTATAAGCAGGGTGCCACATGTGCATTTTCTTATATTTTATTGTAGCCACACTGGTGTCTCTCATGCATCAGCATCTCATATGCAGGACTTCGTGGTAAGATCGAACACACAGTGCTTTTCATAAATTTCTATACTGCCAAAGCATGCTTATTGAAGGGCTGCATATTACAAGGCATAAATTAGCTACTCATGTATGCACGTGTTCATTCAGCAACTGGTGCCTCTTGTCACCTGCATCCCAATTGTAAACGAATACAGCAAACATTCAGTGGAAAGTTGTCAAGTCAAACAGCAAATATTCACCTACATTTTATCATAATAATTGGCTTGTGCGAACAGTGATTTTTGTCTAGTAATTTTTATTTTGAATAGTACATACCACAAAGAAATATGAACATAATTTCCATGACCCTGCTAAGCTAGACTGCACTTTTTTTAAAACATGAAACGAAACAATTGCTATTCTTTCTAGTTGAATAGTTGCAGAATGTGACTATCATTAGAATGCTGGGGTAACCTGCAAAATACTGTACGTTTTAAAATTTACTATACTTAGAGCAGCACATCAGATGATATAACAACATTTGAAACTTAAATAATTAATTGGTGCAACGGTTCTTCACCTTGGAAGTCAAGCTTCGTGGCAGTGTGTAATTTTCCTGGGTAAGTGCTTTCACGGCTTAGCATCTCTTCACTGCAGTGAAATGACCTTTACAGAAGGTTACATGCAGACTAATGTGTTTTTACTTGTTTATTTCGAATACTTGGAAATTTCCAATAATTTAATTTGGAAGCAAATTTAAATACAGTAATATTCATTCGAATATTCGCACAAGCCTACTAAGAACAGTGCATAAAAGAGCTTTCATGCTTTGCAGCACACACTCTACAGACACTGGTGATGAAGTGCACATTGACGTCGACACATTTGACGAGACCGACAACCATGCACTGCACGACACGATCGGGCAGATGTGGGAAACCGTCAGTTCCACCAATTCCTCCCCTGCAGATGGCAGCTTTCAGGGAAACAATGGTAAGTATGCACTGTTTCACTATGGCTAATAGTCAGAAATAGAGAAGCTTTCAAACATCACAAACAACCAAAGTTCTTATTAACGTGGCTTTTATCTGGTGACCTAGTAAGTTACCATATGCTGGAAAAGTCCTCGTTAGTCTGCCACTACCTGTTACCATTCATGCCTTGCTTAGTCGGGTATTTGTGTGAAGAGTTACAAATTCAGTGAGAAATGTTCTATATTTGCTTTAATAATTTGGTATTTGGTTATATTCACATCTGTTATGTCAAGGTTCGCCTTATTTTTTTTTTTTTCTTTGCGATAGCCACCTTGAGCAGCAATGCATGTAACAAAAATTCTCTGTGGTCATTTGTCATCGCAAGTTTTGTACGCGTTTCACATGCCTATTCTACATTACAAACTGTGTGCTATTGTATTTTTGCAATTACTTCTTTTTCAGTAATGTACCTATCATGTTCAAACAGTACATTTAGCAAGAACTAGTGTAGAATAGTCATGTCGCAAATTAAGCTAGATTCACAGACATGGAAACATTGGTGTCTGCGATTCTTTCCACTCGTTCCTTTAGATATTAGCCAACTAAATGAACTGGCACTGCCAAACTGAATAAACCTAAAAAGCAAGCATTGAGGCGACTAGTCTTGTATGGTTGTGCAGTTAAACACCGTCCTCCATTCCATTACACACATGGAGTGCATTTTTATTTTCTGAATGAAACAAGGACTAATAACATTTTGAAAAGCGCTTTTCACTGCTGATGTGGCAAGGGTTGCAGGAAATGCAGCGAAAGCTAGGCCTGCCAGTTTTATTTTGTTAACTTAAGTTGAAAAATAATTCTCATAAACCTTAGGCACCAACTGGTCATGTTAATCGATTAAATTTTCAAAGGAAGTATTTTTTTTTCTGCAGCATAAAAGTGCAGATTGCACAAAATTAAGCTAGAAGTGTAATCTGGAAGCAACTTTGGCAAGGAAAGCATGCAGTAATGAAACAACAATACAGATACTGTGGGGAAATTAACTCCTGCAAGTTCGTGGTTTGCCTTCAATGTAACAAATAAATAAAAAAATGCAACAGGATAGAAAGGTACGCTAGTTGGTATTTCATAATTTGAGCGCTCGTTCTATGTATGTCTTCTTTTTTTCGCGAGCATGTTCCTCTCGCACTCCCAGTTCGCTGATCAATTTTAAAATGCACGCACCCGTGCTTGAAAGAGCATAGATAAGGACAAACATGTGTTCTTGTGTGTGTGTGTGTGTTAATTTTTTGCACTGAGTTTATTTGCTACAATCACTAGCTCAACTGTCTTTCCAACATAATTTGAGATGACAGGAAGATGTGTTAAGGGTTGCTGGAAATGCAGTGAAATAACCATCTCTGGTTGTTCTATTGTGTTAATAGAAGTTGAAAGGAGAGTAATTCCTCACAAGTTTCAACATAAATGTTCTTGAGCCAAAGTGAATGAAATGAAATTGAGTTGCTTCTTTGATGCAGGTGCCGTGGGAAAAAAGAAGGACAAACGTCTACAGCCCTTCAGCAGCTCAGTGAAGAAACCCAACAAGTCTCGGCCCAGCAGCAGCAGTGGTGGCCCTTCAAGCGCAGCCGCCGAACCAGTGGGCTCCGATCTGCTTTGACTGGGAGGGGTGATCGTGCCTCAGTGCCAAACGTCTCGCCCGTGCGGTGTGAGGAATGCTTTTCACTTCGCATCTCGTTGCTGCAATGCCTTGGTTTTCCACAAGAAGGATTCTCAGCAGCTGCCTTCCTCGTTAGTCAACCAGTCGTCACGCTGGGAAAAAGCATCAGCCCCCTTGCGCTCTTCTGTGGTGTTTGCGGCTGACGACCACGTCGCAGCAACACAATGTGTATTTATGGCTGTGGTAGTTCCATGCCGCCCTGTGCAAAACTCTCCCTACGTTAGTGCGAGTTGTCTTGCACCTCTAGCTATCTCCTCTCACTGCGGTTACGGGGCATTGTCATGGGTAGAAAATGGCGAAAGATTTGGTGGCTTTGTCTTTTGTTAAGAGCAAAGAAACGCAACATGCGTTCTTTCATTTTCAACGGGACGGCACAGTGTTCTGCTATATTTCGGAAAACTTGAGAGCGACATCTTTTGGTCATTCCCTCGTCTTTGTTGCAAAGGTTCTTGGAATTCAACAGCCAGTGTTCATTGGCAAAGGTTCTTGAAATTCAACAGCCTGTGTTCATTGGCATTTGCATCCTTCATTTTTTTCTTGTGTATATTGTTGGATGCATCCAATAACACTAGATTACCCCTGATCGGAGAAAGCACTGTCACTCTGCTAGGCTCTTCCATTAGTTAATGTCAGGGCCAACTATTTTTGCATTTTTTTTTTCCTTTGTTCTCAATACAAAGGCAAGAGGGGATGGAAATTGTTGCACCTTGTAAATGTGCGCAGGGCAAGACTTACAGCTCAGGTGTAACAGCTTTTTATTTTTTTTCCTCCCTCCATGGGAAGAGGGAACAAGTGGACACTGGTTTTGTCTTCTCACATTTGTTTTGTCTGTGATATTCGCAGAGGCAACCAGCTTGTTCTCTCTTACTTCTCATAACAACAAGGTCACGAAAGTGTGTGTGTGTGTAGAGGCATGTGTGCTGTCGGGAATCTCTTGTTGTTGTAAGGGTGGCACTGTCATCAATTTCAGTAGCCTCTGTTTCATTGTTTTGTTGGTTGTCTTACGTTTGTTAAGTTGTGTTTTTGTCTATGAGTACTGAACCTATCCTCCTTCGTTTAAGTGATACTCCTTGGTTTCACTAGGAATAAGCTGGTAAATTGTGGAGGGTAGTCTTAACACAAAGGTGTTCAATGACCAGCAATCTGAAAAGGCATTGCTGCCACGTAAGATTAGGCTTCACAACTTGGCGGACACAATGTAAAAACAAGAGTGGCGCATTGTACTTGTTCTTCAATACGATGTATGATGTGGATTGTGTTACACATTGCTCAGTATAACCAACAATTTCTTTTTTAACAGGAAAGCATTTTATGTGGCAGCAGTATCGTACTGGCCTCTAAAAGGACAAAACTGTGTGAGAAAAGCCTTGGATTTTTTTTTTTTTTTTCAGTGCATGTAACAACATAACCAAATACTTGAATGAAGCCGACACAGTGTGATCGTTCATTATTTCTTTCCAACTGTGATATGCACAGGAATGTGTTGACGTGGGATCATGTATGCTTGGAAAGGCAAAAAGTGTGAATAAAGTTGCCTCATTTTGTACTGCCACCATGTTTGGCCATCCAGACGTGCTTTCCTGTAGCAGTAACTAACGCAACTTATCTCGTGGTTGCTACAGGGTCAAGCTAGGAGGCCAACAGAGATTAATGCCCTCAGCGATTCTTTAGCATGCTGATTTTGGATGCCATGCCTGGGAGTCGCGTGTTCACAGTTGTGCATTACTTCTGGAATGCAGTGGTAATGCAACCTTTCAATACCATCACATTACATTAACAAATATGAGGTTTTCATGACACACTGGCTTGTATTTCAGATTAAATTTTCCTGTGAAGCCACTATAATGCTGTCTAAAACTAGCCAACTTATGCAGCTCAAAATGCTGTTAGGAGTTGTGCTTTCATATGTCAACTTTAATCAAATGCAGTCATGTTTATGAAATGCAGCCATCACAAGATAAAACATGCTCACTGAAGAAGAATTGACTAAAACATAGCAACAACTTGAAAAGTGCAGTGAAGTTGGGTGGTCAGACAAGTCAACAGAAAGAAAATTCAAATGACTTTTTGCATATATGGGCATAACAACCACACAATGTTGAGTCCGAGAGTCCCAAATGGGCGGGCATTACTTGCATAAGAAACATATCAGACAAGCATTTTTACCAATTATGTTTAAAGCTATCGAAAATATTGCACCTTACAAACTGTGGCCAACTAATTCACAAGGTGTAGTAATGAAACTTTAGGACACGAAAGCTCACAGACAATTCCTGAATTTCACAAAGAAATACATTGGCTGTAGAGTCACTTTTGTTGTCATATAAAATAAACGGAACAGTGCATATTTCAAGCTACCCTTAAATTATGTTGCAACTGCACGAATCTTGCCAATGTAACAGCAATTGCTCATAACTGGCAATTTACTCTAATTTCTACACTCTGTTTCAGAAGTTTCCTTCAGCACTAGGAGGCCAATGGGAAGGGCATTCAGCCCTCACATCGGCGCCGTGTTGTTTGCTCACTGAATTGTAGTTATTGTGGCTGGTTCATTAACTTACAAATGCAGTAAAACTATTAAAGAAGCAACCACACCGGGAGCTTGAAGAAGTGTGGATTTGTTGCTATGGTGAAGGTCGGTAGACGCTTATGCCGGCGGATAACTTCACTTTGTGGCTGTTTTGTCTTTAACAGTGAAAGCTGTTATGAGATCACTTTTCGGGTCACGCGCAGTTGTTGTCCGCCGCCACCGGTGTCCGTAACCACATCGCGCGAAATTAGAAAAAAACCTTGCACCAATGGGAAAGTGGGGCTTGAACACGAGTTCGCTGGGTGCCAGCTCGATATTCTACCACTAAATTGTGCCGGTGCTTGTAACTAGTTGGCAAACTTGCTTTGGGCAAGCATGAACTAGCACCAATGGCATAGTGGAGCTCAAACCCGGGTCCGCTGGGTGCCAGAGCAGTATTCTACCACTGAGCTACACGGGTGCTTATGACTTGTTGTCAAACTTGCCTTAGACAGGCTTCATGTCGGGAAAGCAATCGCGTTAACACGACGTATAAAGCGTTTTACAACAGCAAAAAGACGAGTCGTCGCACAATGCGAATAGCACAACGAGTGGGCCGTCCAATGCTCCAAAGTATCACGAAAGCTTGTTCTTATTCCCCTATCAACTGTGGTGCGTACCACTTCAGTCATAATTCCTCATCGTCTTCAGCCACTGCATGAACAAATGGCACAAAATTCCTTTTGAGTGTTTAGCGAATACCACGCTTCTCAGAAGAATGACAAAAACGACGTCTCCCAAAAGCTGAAAAAATGCTAACAATTTATGAAAAAGAAGATTATCAAAGCATGAACAGGGAGCTTAATGAATTCTGGCATTCCTTATCACTTGACTTCTTGTCACGGTCTGTTGAAACAAATAGGTTCCTTTTTAAAACAGAAATGCATAAGCTTATCAAAAAGTATATTCCCACAGTTTCCGTTAAAGACCGTACAATGTCGCCCTAATTTAACTGTAAGCTAAAAAGGCTGAATAATAAAAAAAACATATTTCAAGCAATCAAGAACTTCTAACAACTCATGCGCATGTGTAAAATATTGCACTACAGCTACAGCTAACGCTACCCTAGACCAGACCAAGCGTTCTTTTTTTAATTTCAGTCTGCCTCAATTTTCACTTAATAACCCCAAACAATTTTGTATGATTATCAATCCGAAACAGCATAAATCCTCCGTATATGCCGAAGAAAACACTCGTAATGTCATTCCCAATGCCGCAGTGGCAAACACCCTAAATTCCATGTTCTGCTCTGTTTTCACTAAAGAAATTCATAATTGCCTTCCTCGATTTTCGTTCTTAAATCACCCCAATATGCCTGAAATCACAGTTTTACCAAAAGGTATTGTCAAAATAATTGACTTTCAAAAGGTAACTTCATCTGCCGGACCCGATGGTATTAACTCCAAAGTGTTCACAAAAAAACCAAGTGCATTATTTTGTCTCATATGTTGCAACAGTCATTGTCATGAAGCACCCTGCCACAAGATTGGAAGTAGGGTAAGATTGTTCCAGTCCCTAAGAAAGGGCCCTCAAGCTACCGCCCGATCTCTCTAACCAGTCTCTACTCGAAAATCATGGAACATGTCATATATACCCTGTTATGACCGTCATCAGTAGGCGCCATGCTGTCTCTGGGAAGCGTAGCCGGGCAGCGTTCCCACGCCTGGAACCCAGTTTTCTAGGAACCAGCGTCCAGAGATGACAGGGGAGCGGCACTCTTTTAATCCTCAAACAAGTAGCCGACTAGCCGGCTGCCTATGCCCACCAGGTATTGTCCCTGCTAGCCGGAGGATGAGACGTCGTGTCGCCACGACGCCGTGAGCCGTTCCAGAGAGGACAACAAAGACAGCGTCTTCCTTGGAAGAAATGGCAGCCGCCGCCACAAAGTGCGCTGCTAATTGAGCGGACAGATTGGCGGGCCGTTTGATGTCTGCTGTCCGGAGCTTGGGACCCCTCGACCAGCGACACACACACGACGAGGAAGAGCCCCTCTGGCGCCACTTTGCAGTGCAGTGATCACGACTCAATATTGGATGCTCACGTGGGCCGTGCATGCTCGTACCCCTCGCCTGTTGTGTGTGTGTGATTGGTGTTCCACTCAAGAAGGAGGAGCCCGACAGGGCTTATAAGGATGCCGCAGAGTGCGGGACGTCGCTCTGAACTGTGTAACGGTTCAACCACCACGCTCGTGGTTTGTGAAAACTCTCAACCTTTCTATGCTGTAAATATTTGTAAATAGTGCCATAAACCTGTTTGTTTTTTCGTATCCCCATCTTGTAAGCACTCGTTTCCTCAACCCGAAGCTACACCACGCTACCACAGAAGACCGGGCAGCCCCCGATCTGCAACAACTGGTGAACAGCGCCGAGATCCGCAACAACGGGTCCTCAGTGCTGGGAGCCGCAACAACCCATACTGTCAATTTTCTAAATTCTGCGAACTTTTGTAATCAAGGTCAGCATGGGTTTCAAAAGCTTTTTTCCTGCAAAACCCAACTTGCACATTTTCTCCGCGATATCTATGTTGGCCTGGATCGGAACATACCTGTAGACGCACTTTTCACCGATTTCGAAAAAGCTTTCGATAAGGTACCACATAAAGGCTTGCTATTGAAACTTTCGCGACTTTTGTTTTTCGTTGGATTAAAGAGCTCCTCACTAACCAACAGTAATTTGTGCATGCCAATAATTCATCATCAACTTCATCCCCTGTCTTATCTGGAGTAACACAAGGCACTGTATTGGGTCCACTCCTTTTCCTCATTTACATGAACCATCTCCCCAGCAACACTTCTTCAAACATAACGCCTGTTCGCCGATGACTGCGTCATTTATCACCCGATCATCAACGTCACCGATAACGTAGCGCTCCAAAACAACTTACTAAAATTCGATAAATGGTGTAGTGATCGGTTAATTAAGGTGAACACTAACAAAAAAGATAAATGGTGTAGAGATTGGTTAATGGTGGTGAACACTAACGAAACATCCCTGGTTTCATTTAATAGATGGCATGCCTACCCGGTATTCAAATATTCTCTTAACGGCAACTTCATCTCCTCAGAACCTAGGGCTAAGTAATTGGGTATTACTCTTCATAACCACCTCGCTTGGGCTACTCACATTACCAATATTACGAATGCCGCTAATCATACTTTAGGCTATCTTAAGCAAAATTTAACAAATGGGACCCGGAAATGAGGTTCCGCATGCCTCCTCAATTGAAACGGCAACTCACAAGTATGATCCACCGCATTCGTCTTGGTGTAGCGTACACTAGACGTTACGCACACATCATCGGTCGCAGTGACACCGGTCCTAATTGTGAACACTGTGATGTGCCAGAAACACTTGAGCACATATTTTGTGTCTGCCCAACATACGCACGTGAACGACAAACACTGATTTCTTCTACTGAACAATATCGCAGTAGGTCATTAACTGATGAGACCATGTTGGGCCCTTGGCCAGACACCAACAGTGCAACTGCGGTCACAAGAGCAGTTATTACCTTTTTAGAAACAACTGGACTATGTGCGCGGCTCTAAAATGTGTCTCAGCTAGAAAGAACACTACATACTCACCTCTCTATCTCACCATCGTCATCCATTAATGTTGCTTTTCCCCTTTCCCTTCCCCCAGTGTAGAGTAGCAGGCTAGAGCAAACTATCGCTCAGGCCGACCTCTCTGCCTTTCTGTAAATAAACATACTTCCTTCCTTGTAACACATGCATCTCCTCCAGTGAAATTGCTAGCTTATAAAACACAAATTCGACCTAAATTAGATTATGCGTGTTCCGTCTGAGATACCCCCGATTGCGTTTTAACCTATGTAATAGAATCAGTACAAAACCAAGTGGTGAGATTTATTTATTCTGATTATTCTTACACGACTAGTGTAACTAACTTAAAGAAAAAGGCAGGTCTAACTACTCTTCAGACTCCGCGCAAAATCGCAAGGCTTTCACAAGTTTTTTCCAAGTCCTACG